GAGACTAAGAATCACCCAGCTCGCGCTCCGGCACAGTCAGGTAAAAGCCATCGATGCACGTGGTGTGGACACACCATGCCTGTTGATAAGGATGGTCGGCTTGTTCCGCCTCCACCTATTCCCAAGGCGCCAGAGGAAGAGGAGATCAACGAGGCTAATCGCGGTGCACTTGCTCCGCAGGCAGCAAGCATTCTCATGAAATTGCTTTATGCCGCGCGCATTTGCCGCTTTGATCTTCTGCGCAGTATCAACAATCTCGCGCGCAAGATCACGAAATGGACCAAGAAGGAGGATGCTCTTCTTCATCATCTCATGGCCTATGTGCACCAGTCCAAACATCACATGATGATTGGATGGGTCGGGAACTCCTTGGAGGACTCGTCCATCGGGCTGTTTGCAGATGCGGACTATGCAGGTTGTGGAGAAAGTTTGAAATCTACCTCCGGTGCTCACTTGCACATTCAAGGTTCTCACACAAGATTTCCCTTGGCGGGACTTAGCAAAAGGCAGGGGTGCTTGAGTCATTCCACACCTGAGGCCGAGATTGTCGCGGCCGACTTTGCCATGTCACGTCTTGGATTGCCTGCTATCACGTTGTGGCAGCAGCTTGGGGGGCAAGACCCCAACTTCGTCTTCTACGACGACAACCAGACCATGATCGGGGTGATTCGCACGGGCAAGAATCCGACTATGCGTCATTTGGAACGTACCCACGGCATCTGCATTGGATGGATGCATTCTATCTTTCAGGAAGGTTACGTTTCTCTTGCCTATGAGGTCACTGCCAAGATGTCAGCGGACATACACACCAAGTCGTTCAAGGATTCTGTGTCCTGGACACATGCGTGTCAGCTCATCAACATTTTTCCGCCGGCCCTCATTGGCTCCCAAGAGATTATGGATCTGATGCGCCCTACTCATACACAAAGCACGGATGAGAAGGGCCAACAGCATTACTCGTTCAAGAGCGAGGTGCCTTGTTTTCCTTACACGCAGACGCCGATCCTCCCTCAGGTGTTGTATCGCGCTGGATTGTCGAGTAAGGAAGGCTTGCAAGAACATGACAGTGTGGACCCCATCCTGGTTGTCAAGTTCCCGCGCATGCTGCGGGGGCCGCCTTCCGCGTTGCCGCCTGGTCGCTACCTTCGGTCGACTTGGATTCTTCGTGAAGGGCAGTGGCACCAATGGAGGACCGTGCTGCTATCCTTGATCAACCGGGCAAGTTCGACCGCTATGTGGAGCGTGCTGTGTTTCAGTACCATCCGGTACGGGGGCATTTGCGCCCCAGCCGCTATTGCGGACGTCCTTGCGCCGCCGTTTTTGCCTCCTCCTGAACCGCCTTTGGGCCAGTCTTATGTGCGCGCCCTGCCCGCCAAATGGCGAGCGGTGGTTGTCACACTGGCGCGTGCCATCCATGGGGGGTACCAGGGCTTTACATTACCTCTTTGTTTCAACGGCCAGTCCAAAAGTCAAGCCTCCCAATTCGGCTATGACCAATGGTCGTCAGTGTACGAGGATGTATGGCATGATGCGGCTGAACAGAAAAGGGAATATCAAGGATATGATGGAGCAATTGTGCCTCACGTGGTCAATTTCGCCGAAAACAAACCCAAGGAGGGCCTGGTGATCCAATTCCTCGACCACGATGGAGGGTTGGTCCATACTTACAAGAATCCTTACAGCCGTTGGAAATACCGTATCACTATCAAAGATGCTCCAAAGGCAGTGACGGTGTGGACATTGGTAGGAGTCGATGAGGAGAACTGGTGGAATGAGTATGCTCCTGGCAAGGACTGCATTGCGCAGCATGCTCCCGATTCTCACTACGACCCTGGGTTGCAAGTAAATGTTCTGAGTATGGGGCGAGAAGTTGACGACGCCATGTGTGCCTACCTCTTCGATGTGGTGGAAGCGAGGAAAAACAACCCTAACTCCGTGATCTTCATTGGCGCAGGGGTGTTGGGCAAGAATTCGTGGCTGAGTCGGAAAATCGCTGACAACCCTGAAAGGGCCAAATTGCGGACAGACTACCCATGGGGGGAGGTCGTCCAAAGAATTGCGCGCAGAGCGGCATCGTGGGGGTTCCAAATCATCATCGAAGTACCTCCTCGAGTACAAGTCCAGGAAACCAAGCAGTACAAGGGACTTCAGGAAGATGCCATGTGGAAGAGCATCAAGATCCAAGGATGCACTCACGGGCAACGTTATACCTTTCGGGATCCTGTATCTCCCGGAACCGCCGTTGAGCTCGGCTACTGCAAGGATGAATGGGAGTACATTGCCGCAAACGTCGCGTTGCATCCTAAGTCGTCTGACGTGTGCTCGTCCAAACATTTGCACATGACCGATTCGGACGCTAAGGATCGATCTGACAAATGCGAGTTGACTAGCCAAATCTCCAGGAGATTGCTTAAGGCTTTGAATTTTCAGGCAACGGGCGATGGGAGATTGGTAGCAATGCCGTCGGAGGCTGGTGGACGAAAGCCTGACCGCATGATTGTTGACCTCTGTGGCTTGGGCAATGGCTACGCCGTGCCTAAGTCCACTAAGGGACGCGCTCGCGTAACTTGCAAGGAGCTAATTGGCTCTAAGGCCGATGAGGACAGCCTTATCGGTGCGATGAAGGACGCGTGCCGGAATGACCTGCGCACACCTGTGCTATTCGTGGCATCGCTTTTGCGATCAGGTGTTGGTCCTGGAAGTAGTGAAGGGGCTTGCGTGGGGGGTGAGAAACGTTCCGGTGGGAAGTACAAGGTTTTCAGAAGTGTCTTGAAATCTCTCAAACGCCTGCTGAAGAAGTGTGCGGAATTTTCCGACGTCTATTTTTCGCTTGACATGCCTTCTTCATGTTCATGTTGGTCTTGGCCAGAGTTGCATGCTCTTGTTTCAAGTGGCAAGGTGACGAAGGTTAAGATTGATGACCATGTTGGTGCTGGTGGCGATGGTGGTGGACGCAGGATCATGTTCTCTAACATGCCTGAAGCGGATCGTTTGATGGTGAGAATGGATGATTGCTTGGACCATGAATCGAAGAGCAGTTTGTCGCAGCGCATTGATGTGTCATGGCGGTCGATTGCGAGGAATGTTCGCAGCCTTGTTCGAGCTCATGTCAGTGTCAGTCATGTTGCACATGAATCTGAGGACATTGCATGGCAGCAACGTCAGTGTATAGACGCTGATGAAGGGGCTATAACACAGCCCCAACTAAGGAACAACTAAGGTCTGACCCGACGGATCGGGGAAGGGTGCCTCTTACAGAGCACCCGGAACCGTGAAGTCGAGTAGGGTGTAGGTACTTCTCTCCTACGGAGGAAGGACCGAATCCCGAGCCATGGGTGAAAGCTACAATGCCTACGAGCTGGCCTTCGAAGGAGTGGACCATGAAGAAGTTTTCCCTTCTGGTGGAATATGCCAGTCCGGGGCTAACCGGGTCCTTTCCATTATGGAACCGGGTCCTACGACTTATGTTGTTGATGTGACATGGAATGTAGCAAGACATGTGTGTTCTTGTGACTCAATGGAAGACATGCTGGACATGTGAAAACTTGTGCTCTTGCGGCTCAGTGGAAAAACAAAACCTGAAAACTTGGTCTCTTCCAAATGAAGATGCATACCTGAAAGACTGTGTTCTTGTGGGTCTATATGGAAGAAGCGAGATGCCGGACATGTACAAAAAGATGTGTGCTTGTGGCTCGATAGAAAAATCAATGCCTGAAACTTGGTTTGATCGAAATGTGAAAACATGTACATCGAAAAATCAAAGCCATACTGACATAATTGCCTGTCCCAAGTTTTGTAGTTCACATGGAATTTCTTTGTTGCAAAATATTTTTGAAGATCAAAATATTTTTTGAAGATTCGTTTGTGCCGAGCAAACCAAACATATGCAACTTGGTGTTCTTGTGGCTCAACGAAAACAAGAAGCTTGAGATTTTGTGTTCTGAAACCCTAAAGTCAGCTTTTTGTACCATTCACAACGACTTGAAAATTAGCGTGTGCGTTCATGATTAAACATCAAAGGGAAGCTGAACTTTCGTAACGTCCAGCCCATGCCCTAAACCCTGAACCCTAAACTCTAAACCCACCCAACCCCCAAACCCGCCCACCCATTCAAGCCCAGAAGCTGCAGGTAGGAAGGGGCACACAGGTAGGTAGAGAGGTATAGTTAGGTAGGCAAGTAGGTATGGATAAGTAGATTGGCAGGAGGGAAGGTACTTGTTGGTGTAGGTGGGTCGGCAGGCTTCCAGGTCGGTGGGTAGGTAGATAGATAGCTAGGTAGGCGGGCATGTAGGTAAGGAGGCATTGATCAGGAAAGAGGTTTAAAACCCCTAAACCCCTAACCCCTAAACCCTGAACCCTAAATCCAACACCCGAAACCTTCAACTAAGCCTCAACCCTAAAAGGTAGCAGGCAAAAGTAGTTGTAGGCATTCGTGCAGGCCCTGTCAGGATGTCAGGTGGCCACATCAAGGTCTTCGGAGCCCCGTACAGGGGCGTACCCGCGCCAAGGCCTGAATGGGCCGCGGGATGAACCCCGAATAGGGGTGAGCTTGGACCCCGAAGAGGGGTCGTCGGAGCCCCGTACAGGGGCGTACCCGCACCAAGGCCGAAAGGGCTGCGGGATGAACCCCGAAAAGGGGTGAGCCTGGACCCCGAACAGGGGTCGTGAGAACCCCGTGCAGGGGTGTGGATGAACCCCGAACAGGGGTGAGCTTGGACCCCGAACAGGGGTCGTTACCAGATAGATTTTTTTACTTGTTATACATATAACTGGCTTATGTACCATAGAATGCACTTAAAGTGAACTTACACAAGTCCTTCTTAAGTTGAAGAAGTCCAACCTTAAGTTCATCCTAAGTTCCCCTCAAGTAGTTTGTCTTTGCTTGATTTCCATATTTTTTTCCGTGGTGAGTATTTGTGTGAACCACAAAAATGACAGTGAAGGGTTGCAGGGTTTGTGGGGTTGAAAGAAACGTATTGCAGCTGGCTCTTCCTTTTTCTTCAGTGCAGGCACAGGACCTTGTCTCCAACAAATTGCCAGAAAGCGGGGAGCAGGAGGCCGTGGTCCACCGAAGGCTGCAGCAAGGCATCTTCGTCTGTCGCCGTCCAAAGCGAACCAAAGTCTTGAGAGATTTTATTCTTGAGCCGTTTGGCTAAGAACCACGGCCCTGCCAGCCTTCCATCCAGACATTGCGTCACGACCCCTCCCACAGTGTCGAAAAGCAGAACATCGCCGGCTTTGACACTGAGTCTCACCAAACGAAGTTCTTTAACGACGCAGAGGGTATCATCTTGCAATCTCTGTCGCATCTCCCACGAGGCTTTCTTTGCAACTTGGACCGCGGCAGGGGGTGCGCCCCAGTGATTCAAACCGAACTTGTCTGCATCCAGCACAGTCTGGCGGAAAAGGCGGCCCAACAACGCCTTCTGCAGCTCCCACCCCTTGTTGATGCTTTTCTTTTGGTTCTCTAGGAAGCCTCCTTTCACATGCCTGTGCTTGCTTTCGTGCACTTCGCAGTTTGGCAGCCAGTGGAGTTTTAGGGTACTCTCAGCAAGGTGAAACCTGTGATGATGCTTCGGTTTGATCGCCTCTGCACCATAGGACTTCACGTAGGCAGCTTGGTGTTTTGTCTGCAGGGAAACCAGCCTGTCCAAGATTGCAGCCTCATTGATGGGCTTGCAGCGGTATTTGAGGCAACGAAGCTCGGAGCAAAGGGCACGCAGCAGGGAGAAGCTCTCCCGTGCGAGCTGCTGCCTGTCCTCCAAGAGTTGGAGCACGTAGTAGTGCAGCAGGAAGACAAGAGACCAGGCATCCCGGCCTTGACCTTTGAAACCGGTTTCGTCGAACATCTTGGGGTGCAGCAGCACATTTCGCAGGTAGGCTGAAGCGTTCTGCGCGGTGGCGGCCTTGCGCCAATCCGAGGAGCAGGCTGACTCACGCAGCGTCTCCAGGGAGATTCCTTCCTCCTCAAGGATTTTTATCATATTCCCTATCTCCCAGGATGCTACTCCATTGGCGAAGTAGACATGAAGGACGTCAACACAACTGCTAGACGGCGGCAGGTGCACCCTGGCCACGGGGTCCACCAGTAGACCACCTTCTGCATAGGTTGTCCCCAAGACCTTTTCCAACTGCTGCCTTTTGGTTTTGGATGCGGCATGTTGCAGTTCATCCGCAGCTTGAAAGTAATCCTGGTCTGTGAAGGGCAGGAATTTCTGAGGATCTGCTGCCGTGATGCTGCAGAAGGGCTCTGTCACGTCTTGCAGACAAGACTTGCTCAGAACATTGCAACAAAACAGGCAGGGTTTCAGGCCGCTGGAACCCTTCACACTCCAGGTGGCGCGCTGCGCCTCGGCGTCGGAAAGGAAGTACGTCTTCGCACGAAGACTGCACCACTTCTGCCCGGACGGCAGGGACAGGTGGAAGCCCGAGTGCTTGTGGAGCTCTCGGCTCACCAGCGCCATGAGTCGTGACATGCCGCCAGAAACCCTCTCCAGGTCTTGGTGCTGCACGAGACCGATGCAGAGCCATGCATTCTCCACGCTAAGCGACGCATGCATCTCCATCAGACTCGCGTACAGCATGCAAACTTTTCCTGATTTCCTTGGGGCCAGGATGTTGCCGCATGTCACCTCGTCATGATATAGGATGCACGTCATTCTGCCGCCATCGCTAGAAACCGCTCGCTCCAAAACCAAGCTCCATTCCTGGGACGTCCTTGTCGCTTCCTGCAACAACTCTCCAAGATTGGCCAAGCAGAAACGAACTGTGTCGCCAGTCAAGGTCGGCAGTTCGTGCGTTTCGAAGCACCGCAAACACGGCTCGTTGAGTTCTGCCGTCAACTGCCGACCGTCGTTGGCAGTCGCGTGCTTAGCTCCCGCCCGCAGCTCGGAAGCTTTGTTCCAGACCTTCAGGACCGCTTGGTCCGAGCACCGGCCACCAGTGTCGGCCAAGCATTCCTTGAGGTTGTCCTGCTCGGCTTGGCTGAGCTTTCGTTTGCGGCCCATGGCGCGCGCACACTACGCTGGAACAAGAAACATGGACATTCAAATAAACTGTGCAACATATGTCACATACGTATACACTAAACTACATATACAAAGAAATACAAAGAAGTATATGTAGGTATATAGATATAGATAATATAGATATATAGATATAGATATAGATATGGGTTCACCTCAAGGTTTCTGTAGCTTGGGGTTGCCTGTGTCCTTTTTAAAGGGTTTCCTTCAGGGAGAGCTGCTTTGAGCCCGCCTATATATATGAAGCTGACGTGCAGTCCATGTTGCGCCATATGCACAGCTTCGGCGTTTGTGTTTTTGGACCCTTTGCAAGTTGTGTCACTTCGTTCAGTTCTTGTGCTGTTCCCTATATACACTCGTGATAGTGGCGGCAATATTCAAAGCCGCCTCAACTCACAAACCAACTGGTGCAGTTCTGTGGCGCAAGCAGTTGCAGCCTGCAGGTCGATCTGGCCGGAAATCTCACAGTGGAACAAGTGAGATTTCAGCATCCGGTTTGCTTGAAGCAGGAAGGCCTTAGCCCTGCTCACTTCTTGGCTCGCTGCCTCACGCTTGTCAGGTCTTCGGCGGCAAAACTGCTCAGTGGTCTCTATGGCGAAAGCGAGTCGTTTGGTGAGCAGCCTCACGCGGTCGGCTAGTTGGTCACCTTTCGCTCGCGCCGCAGCCCGGCGAGCGGACTCGGGACTGCTGAGCACCTCTGTTACGGCCAGCTCTGGCGTGCCTGTGGCCACGGGTGCTGAAGCTTTGCAGCCCCGAGCCTTTTGCTTGGGCTTCGCCAAAGCAGTCGTTGCTTGTTTGTTCTGTCTTTCTTTCTTGGCCATGGCTACGCTGAGGAAGCGAGGACAGTGGACCGTTCTGCTGCGATTGTAGACATGGCGTCCGAAGCAAAAACCTTCTATGAAACCTTGAGAGCACAAAAATGCCAAGTGGTAAAACACCCAAACTATATAATAAAAAGAGACAGAGGCCCCATGTTAAGTGCTATATGTAACGAAAACCATGTTATCCGATTAAAGGTTAAACGCCTAAACCTTGAACCCCAGAACCCTAAACCAGGCCACCCTCAAGCCCAAACCCCTGCATGATCCCTAAACCCAACCCACCAATTTCAACATCTCTTCATGACGACAACATCCAGCGAGCATGCCTGGGTTGCTTTTTTCTTTGTCAAACAGAGCTGCGCATGCGGTCGCAGGCTCCATGAGCACGGCCTGCGGGATGCTACAGCCAAGCCCCCGAGATGCATGCAGACAACTCTAATTAGGCAATGCGGCGACAGCCGCATGCGAAGAAAGCTGGTCGGAACAGCCTGTTTTCAGGTGCCCTTCACTCGTCTACGCTTCGCGGGAGGCTTGTCCCCCGGAGCCTTCTCGTGTGCTTCTGCCTCGGCAGCTGCCGCGTCCCGAGCGTCCTTAGTTTCCCTCTTCCGGGTCTTAAGGGTAGTGCGAGCCTCCTTCACCAGAGTGTTAAAACTTTTCAGGTGGTCCGCGAAGTCCTTGCTGCTAAAGGGAAGCGGAGGCACCGGAACAACACCGGCTTCTGCAAGCTGGAGCGCGGAAGTGGCTGCCTTCTTCCAGGTCTGGAACTCGCCGCCGGCGTCGTCAAGGTCCTTCTGTGCGTCCGCGAGACCCTCCTTTGCCAGCTGCTTGTTGAGGGACTGCAGCGTCGAGAGCGCTGCCGTCAAAGGCCCCATGACCTTGGCCGCGAGGGTGTGCGTAGCAGCGGCCTCCTTCTTGGCTTTCTTTTCGGCAGCAGCTGTGGCCCTGGCCGAAGGCTCCTTCGGCTTGGCAGCCTGCTTGGGCTTGGCAGCACCTGCTGCCGTTTTCTCAAGCACTGGCACGTCCAGGTCGGGTTCGGCCTCCGCAGCTTCCGGCTCGGCACCGAAACCCGCAGCAGCTGCCTTGGCCTTTGCCTTGCCGACTTTAGCGTCTCGCAGCGCGCGCTCCTTCTCCATGATCTTCTCGTGCACGGTCTCCTGGATTTCTCGCAGGACGTTCTCGTGGAGCGGAACCTTGACGACTTCGCCCAACACTGGGCAGGTCCACCTGGGGCAGTTTTTCAAGGTCTCGGCCGAGTAGCCCTCTTTCTCCCAGACCGACTGCGGCTTGGAGGCGGTGGTCACCTTGTCCTCGTTGGAGGTCAAAGTTCTTTCTATGTGCTTGCTGACAAGCACCGCGCGCACACAGGGCCACTTGTAGCGACCGCCCTGGGCTCCGTCCTTGGAGCGAGCAAAGAAGTCTTGCTTCTGCTCCGGACTGAACTCCTCCAGGGCCCCGGCACCCAAGTTCCGGTAAACCAGCATGCGAACAGCAAGGCATGACTGGCACTCAAACTTGTTGCCTTCTTGGCGGCCCTTCGAAGCTTCTTCAGGCTTCTGTCTGCAGCTCACGCAGAGCACAGCAGCAGCCGCTGCTTCGGGCGCTGCCATCGCAGCGAGACACAGCACCAAGAAGGAGGGGCAGGCAGCAGAAGCTAGAGCCGGCACAAACCAGAATTTTGCGGATACAGGCGGCGGCCATCCTACATTCATCCTACATCCATCCTACATCCGCCCAGACAAGCTTTTGCTCCAGAGAGCGGAGCTTTACTTTGGTAGAAGGCTATCCTACATTCATCCTACATTCTGCCTACATCGTGTAGAGTGTGGTTGCGCACACCCATCCTACATTATCCTACATTCTCCCTACATTTCTCTTTTCAGGGATTGCAGGGAAAAGTTAAGGGTTTATGGGTCTATATACTTAGTGTTTATAGGGTTTATGTTTCTTAAAGAGAGAACGACAGAGAAACAAAAAGAGAGAGAGAGAGAGAGAGAAAAAAAAGGATTTCGTCAGACTTAAGACAAGGGTTGTAGGGGGGTGCATGGGTTGAAAGCTGTAGAGTTTTTTTCATTATATAGATATATAGAACGAGAGACTTGAGGGCTTAAGGGGTTTAGGCTTCGAAAACCCTGCAGTGGAAGACCCCGTATTTTGGCGGCACCAGCATGCTCGAGGTCCCGTCTATGCCGGCAAGCACGGCGGAGTGCCGTTTTCGGCCGCTGTGTGCCGTAGCAGAAGCAGAGCGCACAGCTCTGGCACCACTGCGTGCAGCTGAACCCCGCAGGGGAGCGCACAGCAGCCGCAACACTGCGTGCAGCTCAACCCCGCAGGGGAGCGCACAGCAGCGGCACCACTGCGTGCAGCTGGACCCCGCAGGGGAGCGCACAGCAGCCGCACAAGTGCGTGCTGCAACCCGTCCAGGGGAGCGCACAGCAGCGGCACCACTGCGTGCAGCTGCAACCCCGCAGGGGAGCGCACAGCAGTGGCACCACTGCGTGCAGCTGCAACCCCGCAGGGGAGCGCACAGCAGCGGCGGAAAGGCTGCAGCTGCAACCCTGCCAGGGAAGCGCACAGCAGCAGCACTGCGTGCAGCTGCAACCCTTCGAGGCGAGCGCCGAGCGCACAGCAGGCTTCACGTGCAGTTCCTTATAGCAGCGCTTACATGCGTTCCAAGCCTTCCACCGCCATTTGAAACAGCGACGTAAGGGCCTTGGCCTTGTCATAGCCACTGCCGCCGCTGCCGCCGCCACCCGGGGGAGGGCCAGGCCCGCGCTTGGGGTCCCTGGCCTCCGGCGTGGGAGACGTAGAGGGCCGGCGCTTTGGCTGTTTGCGCTGCTCTTTTTTGTCCCTGGTAGGTGCCTGCGCCGGCTCCGACGGCTTTGTGTTCTTGTAAAAGAGCGACCACAAGAGCGCCGACTTTTTCTTGCCGGCCTCCAAGCAGAGCTCCCAGCTCTTGAAGCTCTTGTCCAGCCAAAACAAGGACGCTTGGTGGAACGCACTTCGCTCGTGCTGCTCCCAGGCCCCGGGGGCGTCCGAGACCCAGCGGCCGCAACTCTTGCACTCGGTTTTGGCGTCAGTGCCGCCCGAGTGCTTCTTGCCGTCGTCCGGACCCCCTTGGCCGCGACGTCCCCGGCGCGTTGGCTTGGAGTGCCCCGCTGCACGGGGCGCCGAGCGCAGGTCCACCGGACGTGGGCTTCGGTGCCGGCCGCGGCTGCGCTCTGCGCGCCCAGAGCGACCGTGGTCCCTGCGACCGCGGTCGCGGTCCCTGCTTTTGTCCCGCCTCTCGCGTCGTTTGCGTGACTTGGACCTTTTTTTTTCTTTCTCTTTTTTGTCCTTGGTTTCCGCCGGAGCGCTCGGAGGTGCGCTCGGAGGGCTAAAGACGCTGCGAGGCGCCTTTGCCTCCTGTTCGTCGTCGTCGTCGTCGTCGTCTTCGTCCTCCGAGCTGGAGGTTGGCACCTGCGACAGAGTTACATAAGGGATTTTGGGTTTACATAATATTATATATATATATATATATATCTAATTATGTTCTATTATATTATACAATATATTGGATTATATTATAAAATATATATTGTATTATATTATGTTTTCTTATATAGTATATATACACTTTTAAGCTATATGTATATATATATATATATTGATTGTTTGGACTTTGCAAGAATGGCCTTGTCCTTCTCCGGCGGTTTCTCAGCCATGGCTTCCGAAGAAGCCTGCGCCCCACAGGGGTTCTCTTGAGAAAAACGGCTGCGGAGAAACACAAGTCCAACAAGCAGGCAAAAGGACACAGAAAAGAACATGACAACTTCATGCTAAGACTGACTGACAT